TCCAGATGTCAAGGTTCACCACGACCGGACAGAAAAGAACGCTGGGCAGAGAGTGTCATGCAAGGATGGATGAGTTCCTTCCCCCACGCGGCAAGGACCATAAGACACCTGAAACGGATCGAAACAGGGGTCGGAATGTAGTTAGCGACCGAGAACATATAGGCAGGCTAACAGAGGAGGTGCATAAGCAGAAAGTACTGCTTAGAGAGATGTCAGACGAACTACGCACCTCAAGTCGCTCCTCGACGAAATGACAGAAACTGCGGAGCACAGGATGTTCACCGTTTTCTGGTTGTTGTTTGACAACATGAAAGATATAGACGTTACTCGTCTGAGGGAGGACATGTCAGCCAGACTTCAGGCAATTGCTGAAATGAAGAACACCACGTTCGACGAGTTTCAGACATGGCTGGATATTGAAAGGGAAAGGCGCACCACAGTCTTGAAGTGGTTCTCCGCCCACGTCACGAAGACAACAAACGGGGAGTCAGACGGAGGGGATGTCATGTGTCTTGCCAGCTGCGGAAAGTGTGTGCTGAAGGAGGGGTGGGCATCGTACAATAGCCAAGATTACAACACAGCGTTGCAGAAATGCGAGACGGTTCATTCCCTCGAGGTGTSCCCGCCGTCGGAGGACAACASTGTATCCGGTCTGCGCAGCGGGGCGCTCAGTTATCACACGCAGTCAATCATTCGAGCGCACAAAGGTGTCGACGAGAATGGATATTCACGATATGTAATCCCTCTCTCACTGTACTCCGACAAGACACACACAGAYGGTCGTCAGAAACAGACGGCATACCCTCTTATGATGTCGCTAGCCGACCAYGCGTCGGAAGCCACTCTGCTGGCCTATCTTCCCGTGCTTCATCATCGACCCTGTGACAAAGGATGGGGTCTACAGTCCACCGCATTCAGGAAGCGAAAGGCCGTCATCTTCCACAAGGCCCTTTCGACGGTCTTGCAAGCTGCGAAGGAGGCATCGCACGACGGCATCACGATACCGTCGACGCGATTCGGGGACGTGACTATCCACCCTTTCCTCCTCAACTATATACAGGACTACCCAGAGCGATGTGCGCTGGCGAATGTGAAGTTTGGTGTATGCCCTACATGCACCGTGTCGAAAATGGACCTCGATGTCGTGGCCGATTTCACGGACAGCAGGAGATCCCAGATGCTGGAAACTCAACTCGCAGCAGCTGTATTCACGGCGGACGACGATGACGTGCGCCGTGCGGCGGAAGGGCGAATGGCGGAGTTGGACATGCATAGGCATGTTGAACAGAACGGCCTTTGGGGGTTCTACAGGGGGCCGAGTGGCGATGATCCTCAGCTAGACTACCACCTCGCATTGCAACCAGACCGTATGCACACGATCGAACACGGCATATTCCTGCACATGATCGACGCATTCAGGGCGGCAGCCTTTGAGAAGTTGCCGAACACATCGCAAACAGAGATCCTGAAGAAACTCGATGCGAGATTGCAATGCGTTAGTGAGAGATGTACGCGAACATATCCCCAACTTGTGCTGCCTGTGGCCACAGGCAGCGATTTTTTTTCTCGAGAGGGACGCTTCGAGGCGAAGCAAAACCGGTCTGTGATGACAGTGTGCGTGTTCCTCATTTTTAATATAATCCCGCGCTCGACAAACAAGGGCATTACCGCTTGTTTTGTTAAGCTGATGCAAATGTACGTACGTTTGTTTCGGCGCACAGCACACACTCGAGCTTCCCTCGACGAATGTGACGCGTTGACGACAGACTTCGTAACGACCATCAAAGCAAAATTGGGAAGATACCAACCATCAAATTGGAAACTCCCGAAGTTGCATGATCTTATGCATATGAGAACGAGTATTGAGCGATCTGGTGTGGCCGACACATTCGCTGCAGACGTTTGGGAGCATCACCACAGGAGATTCTGCAAACAACCGTACATGTCATCGAACAAAAGGAAAGCGTAAACCCAGATAGTCAACCACGTGCGCCGGTCGCTGGCGTTGCAGGAGGAGACCGGATTTGTGAGGAAAAGGAGGAAGAGGGCCGTCGAGAATAGGTCTTCTGTGACGGACTGTATGGCAACGGGGATGAACACCCTGGCACTACGCGATACGTCAATCCTTAAACTGCGCTGGTTCGACATCGATCAGGACCAGCTAATCGAGGTGGAAGGTATTGACAGTCATGCGTGTAAGATACTTGAAGAGCTCCCTTTCAGAACCGATTTTCGAGCAGCGATTACGACGTACATGGCGGAGAATGGTTGTCAACCTCCTCCTGATAATCTCGCTATACACACACGAACACATCTCGCCATCGCTTGCACGCAGGACGGAACAAACAGGGGCACACTTGTTCAAACTGCACGAGCGTCGCCGCAGTTCTACGGGAGACCAGTGCACAGCGACGTCGCAATAAGAGCAGCCAACGAATGTACGTGGTTCGCATCAGTGACCATGTTTTTCGTCGTCGATGCACCCACAGACGGCGGTAATGTGGAACACGAGTGCGCTTTTGTGCAGTGGTACACAGTGGTTGACAGTGAACGAGAACACGTGATAGGTTGCAAGGAATTGAAATGGGAGAAGGCGAATGGACATCAACACAGCAGCGTCGTTTCAACCGACACTATCGTGGACACCGTTCACATTGTTTCGCGCTTCTGTAAACCACAATAGGGATCGAAAATGCATGCGCACCACCGTGAGGACTGTTTTTTTTTAAACAAGTACATATTGTAGAAGGAATAAATTTGAAGTTTGAGAGAGAGAGAGAGAGAGAGAGAGAGAGAGAGAGAGAGAGAGAGAGAGAGAGAGAGAGACTCATTTCAATTACGAGAAAATTTGTAAGTCTGTCTATTTCTTCTCGCGACAAGATGGTAATGCCGTTCTCGGCCGAAGTAAATCTTTCTAGTAGCTGTAAACAACTATGATGTCTAACGCTGACATACCTACGAAGGAGAACCAAAACCTCATGCGAAACAAAAGTGTCCCCAAAAGTTGACTACTGCGTGACGTTCACGTCGTCAACAGTGACATTTGATTCAGTTTTGGCACTCAGTAGCCAACCTCTCTCTCTCTTTCTCTCTCTCTCTCTCTCTCTCTCTCTGGCACGAACTCTCTCGTCCCCACCTATCTGCAAAGGAAAAATAAACAAATAAAAAAAAACAAATTATAGCATCTCGACAAAAACCATTCGCCGTTGCTAAAAAACATAACTAATCCTCTGTGTCTTCTGCCTCTCCCTACGTGTGTGATTATGAACACAAAGTTGCGATGCCGCAAAGCGGAGAGGAGGCGAAGGGGGAGAAGCGACACGGAACACAGAGTAATAGGGTGCAGGTAAGAGAAGGGGATCAACGATGGCAGAGTCGCACAACAGTAGTAATTGGTCGGTCGCTGCGAAGGGGCCATACCAGCGCACCGAAACGGGTAATGGTGCCAGGGAGGGAAAACCGTTGTTGCCATCGAGCAGCCAGAGGTCAGCACAGAGTTGGCAGGACATGTTATCAGACCCATGGTGCGCGAAAATGTACGATTTACTGATTGAGGGTGCAGCAGAGTGGCCCCAGTCCTGCGGGGAACAGTCTTCCTGTTGTATGGGAAAACGGAAAGCAGGGGACAAAACAAAAGCGAGAGATGAGCAGACCGACATCACTGACGTGGTCGAATTGTTCCCTTTTACATGGAAATCTCCGCAACACGCCATACCCGTATCAAAATCCGACATTGAACGGTTGTCGGACGACGAATGGTTGAACGACAATATTATTGACATTTATTTGCAGTCTGTGTATGAAGAGGTTGGGCGGGGCCAGGACAGGTCTTATGTTCACGTCTGCACAACTTTCTGGCACCCCGAGGTCGTCGCCAATCAAAAATTTGGAAAATTGACGAAAAAAGGATGGGAGGACGCAATTAAGAAGAGACTACAGAAATTGCATGGACTGTGCAACGAACTGCGACGCGCGTCGGTCACTGTGATACTAGTAAACCGTAACAAACACTGGATTCTTCTTTTGTTGCTGAATGCGAGGTCCTTCTTGGAGGTCACTGCGGACAGCCGCATATCCGACCCTCCCATTGCTATCGACGTTGACTCAATGAGAGAAAAAAACCGAGACGAATGAACGGCGTTGCGAACACTTTTTTGGCACGAGTACCTTTACGAGGCATCGAATTTGCAAGCTTTGACACCCGAAACGGTTCATTTTTCGTGGGTGACATGCAGGGATCTGGCAGGAAGTAAGCTTGTGCATGCAAAATGCCCGCAACAGAACAATCACACGGACTGTGGTGTTTATGTGTGTTGTATTGCTACCACCGTAATACAATTTCTTGGAAGAACCACGACAAAGGATCTGACAGCCAAGGACGTACTGGAAGTTATCAAAACTACAACGGTGAACGAAAGAACTGTTCGACAATTTTGCGAGTCGATGGTGGACCGGCTTGCTGCCTGTGCTGCAGTCACAAAAGGCAACGACACTTTAGCGGCTTCACAAGTAGCCACAGCGTTGCAAAACATAATAAACAGAAGAGAGAGCAACACTTCCATGGAATGAGATGTTGTCCAGGTCACCGAACGCGATGCGAGGAAAGTTGACTACTGCGGGCCAAAATGACATGAAATGTGGGATGTGCGGACATGATTGGTCCGCAGTAGCCAACCTTATCGCAATGATGGACGAGGCAACTATTCTGATGGTTTTTTTTCTATAATTTTTTTTTTTCCCCAGATTATGCGATCTCCTGCCACCTGACAATACAAATGCAGTCACTCTGACGCACAAAGAGGTTGCTCACTTGCATGACTTCGCAATTTCAAATCTCTCTCTCTCTCTCTCTCTCTCTCTCTCTCTCTCTCTCTCTCTCTCTCTCTCTCTCTCTCTCTCTCTCTCTCTC